AATAGTATTTTTGGGAACCGTTACGCAAATCTCCCCAAACAAAGTAAGCCCCGCCCCTTTACGCACTAGATCACTTTTAATTTATTGGTTTTTTTTTTTCAACCTGATCAACTTTGCTGAACGTTACGGGTGTGTCCCGCTCTAATGTTTGCTTTCTGCGTTGTCTTCCATTTACATTTTCATTCCAAGAAAGAGAATGCCTGTGACATAGGTTGCAGCACTCTCGTAAGGGTGTTTGTTGTGTTAGGGCCAGTGCGTCATGTTTTTAGAGCGTTAAAAACGCTGGCGTACTGAAATATACAACTTGCGGAACACACCCGTAACCTTGTGCATAGGTGGCGAAGGTCAGTAACTAACAATCAAATGTGACCTATTGTGTAAATAGGTGGCTCTAACTCTGTTTGGAAAGATTTGCGTAAGGTTTTATTTTTGAAATAAAATGAACTGTATAAACAGGCATGGAAAGGCATTGTCGCCCACGCCAGTCGGCAAGGCACCTGATGATGATGATAAACAGACACTTGAAAAAATATACATGCTTAGAGTTTATCCACTGAGTCTCTATACAGATATTATATACATGCTTAGAGTTTATCCACTGAGTCTCCATACAGATATTATATACATGCTTAGAATTTATCCACTGAGTCTCTATACAGATATTATATACATGCTTAGAGTTTATCCACTGAGTCTCTATACAGATATTATATACATGCTTAGAGTTTATCCACTGAGTCTCTATACAGATATTATATACATGCTTAGAGTTTATCCACTGAGTCTCTATACAGATATTATATACATGCTTAGAGTTTATCCACTGAGTCTCTATACAGATATTATATACATGCTTAGAGTTTATCCACTGAGTCTCTATACAGATATTATATACATGCTTAGAGTTTATCCACTGAGTCTCTATACAGATATTATATACATGCTTAGAGTTTATCCACTGAGTCTCTATACAGATATTATATACATGCTTAGAGTTTATCCACTGAGTCTCTATACAGATATTATATACATGCTGAGAGTTTATCCACTGAGTCTCTATACAGATATTATATACATGCTTAGAGTTTATCCACTGAGTCTCTATACAGATATTATATACATGCTTAGAGTTTATCCACTGAGTCTCTATACAGATATTATATACATGCTTAGAGTTTATCCACTGAGTCTCTATACAGATATTATATACATGCTTAGAGTTTATCCACTGAGTCTCTATACAGATATTATATACATGCTTAGAGTTTATCCACTGAGTCTCTATACAGATATTATATACATGCTTAGAGTTTATCCACTGAGTCTCTATACAGATATTATATACATGCTGAGAGTTTATCCACTGAGTCTCTATACAGATATTATATACATGCTTAGAGTTTATCCACTGAGTCTCTATACAGATATTATATACATGCTGAGAGTTTATCCACTGAGTCTCTATACAGATATTATATACATAATTTTCTGTAGGGAGGAGGGGAAACAGACTAAGACCCCTTGATTCCGGCGCCCCTGAAGCCCTTCACCCCTCGAGTGCGCCTGAAGTTTCCCATTATGAATTATTCAAGTAACAGAAAGTATTGTGAACGGCACTCATAGAAAGAAGTAGAAAGATAGAAGAACACACTAGACAACATAAAAATCTAAAGCTATAGTTACCGTGCCGGGAATTGAACCTGTCACCTCCAGACGGCGTCTGCGCCTCGCCATGAATACAAGTGCACTAAGATACATGGTCAACTAGGCACCCCAAAAAAGATGTCTCATTGGCCATGTCTATCGTACAGCTTGAAATCCACGACTATGGAATACGGACAGAATTCATTTCAACCCATTGAAATGGCACCATAGGTTACATAAATTTATATTAACGAAGCAAATGTCTGAAGTTTCCCAACGATTACTATATTACTACTTCTGGGTGACCCATAACAATTCGCTGCGATCTTTTTTTAGACGGCTGGAAACCCGTAGGTTTAGTGGGGGATTTTCCGGTCGATTGAAAGAACATCCGTGATCGTGTAGAACGAATATTCTAAAGGCATACCGATGTTGTATGCTAACAACTAAATGCAGCACACTGGCTTAGGTGATCCATGACAACAGAAGTCAAGTTGACTGAATTAATGCCTTCTTCTCTGTACAAGTTCTCAAGACCAGTAAATACTAAATAGTAAGAGTAAATTAAGGTAAGAATTACATGTATATAGTAGTATTAGTGTACACAAACTATGACTGCGGATAGTCGGATACTGGGGATACAATAATATTAATAATAATACTTAATACTGTTGTTTGTTTTAATACACACAAAAAATGTAATGTTCATCAAACCAACAGAGGTAGATAAAGGCATTATGACTAGGGTCCTGGTGTAACTTTGTCAGTCGTATTGTGGAAGCTTTTAGAAATGACGTAGATATCAGCACACCCTGTTGTTGTTTGTCGATGATTAAAGACTGGTCTAAGGTTGTGTTACATCTTGAAAGCGTTGGGAGCATCTTGTAAGCGTTGGGTTGCATCTGCATATTTTTGTTTTGCCCCTTCTTGAATCAAGCATCCTTATGTTAATATATTGTCTGAAAATTACAGCTAATTCTTCTGGTCTAAACACAAACTAACAGATCAATGTCTTCACTTTTAGCGAGACGGCTTTATTTTTTTATATATTTTAGAATGACCTTTTACTCCCAGGTTGATCCAGTCTAAAATAGACTGGGGAGAGAGGGGGAACAAACATACCAGGAGCTACAAGCGACAGAAGACAAAGTCACTGAGTGGTGTACAGAAATGAGGTCTGTTGTCTACCCGGAAAAGGCGTCTGTTTTGTGGTTTCACCAGACAACAGGATTATTAGAGCTGAGGTGCCAGGTATCTTGGCAGAAACGTCAACAGAGAGAGCAAACAGAAGTATTTGAGAATCACATTTGTCAGGAGCCTGCCCTTCAAGAACCTTGGGGAGATGGTTGTGACAATATGCCAAAAAGGACTTAATGCACTTAATACTATGGCTGTCATGGACAAAGAGCAAAGTATACTTTTCACAGTGATTGATTATGGACTAGGACTGTTCACTGTCTCAAATGGTCAGATGGGTAAACTAGAGCACATACAGAACGCAGCTATGCAGGTCATTCTGGGTTGTACCAGAAACACCCAAGTGGTGTGTATGCGATACATCTTTGGTTTTCTCTTGATCAAGGTGCCAACAGAACAATCAGATTTGTGTAGAGTCATAATCACATTGAAGCGGGAGTGCATGCAGTGGACAGCAGGTGCCACGTAGGTGGAAATTTAGCAACTCATTCAAGATAATCCCACTCACATGATGTGGTTATTTAAACAGAAGATTCAGTGTCAAGAGGCTAAAAAAGAAGTGCTTGGGGCTTCTAAGCAAAAGTTAATGGTCAACACACACACACACACACACACACCCACCCCCCCCCCCCACACACACACACACCCCCCCCACCCCCACCCCCCCACACACACGCACGCACGCACACACACACACACACACACAGAGAGAGAGAGAGAGAGAGATTGTATCTGACTCAGAAAGCATGCTGAGGAAGGTCAAGACTGGCATACTTCATGCAGAGTGGCAGTCACTGCAGCTTTCCACTGGTTAGAGAATGTGACATGCACACACACACACACACACACACACACATATCATGACTGTAATTGACTCAGAAAGCATACAGAGGAAGGGCAGAGCAGGCAGGCTTCGTGCAGAGTGGCTTACTTCCCTGCAGAGGTCATGGGTGAGGTGTATTGTCTGGATCTTTCGTCCAGGTGATGTTGGTGTGTTGGGAAATCTTCTTCTTCTTCTTTTGTTCGCCTGAAATAAGTTGTCTATGTCAGCAGTTTTGTCTCTTGTATAAATTTCACTGTTGCTGTTAATTAATTCAGTGGTCCATAGAGTTTCCATTCCACTGTTGTTCTTTCTGGCCAAAAGGTTTGCCTTAATGTGTCAAATTCGGTGCAGTCCTGGAGTACATGCTCTGCTGTCTGGGGCACCTTTCCACAGGTGCACATGGCTGATACGCCTATCGTGAATTTTGTGTACATGTGGTTACGTAATCGGTTGTGCCCTGTTCTGAGGCGGAGGATAATGACTTGTTCTGATCTGTCCATAAAAAAATAGTCGTCTTGTGCTGGGGCTGGTGGTTTCCTGATTGATTTAATGATTCTTTTTTTTGGGTGGTATGTGACTGGTACATCCGGCTGCACTTTTGTCGCACCTTCTCCAGTTGATCAGCTTTCTCATTTCCAGGCACTCCACAATGTGATGGTATCCACCGGGGTGCGCCGGTGTGTTGGGAAATGAACAGGCGTACACACTAGCTGGCTCTGCACAACTTGGTGGAATAAAGATGCATGATAAGTCAGACGTGGTTATGGCCATATAGGAGAGAGTTTACAACTTGGAGGAGCAAATGGGTCACCACAGTCTGGTGAGAATGATGCAATTGGGAAATGTTTAATCAGAACGCTACTAGCACCATTGGTATTGGAGCTCTGCACTGGCTGCTGAAGATGTGGATGAAGCGCTTATGAGAATACCCTGAGTGCTGTGATATAAGTTATTGAATCAACTCAACTCAATGGGTACAAGGCAGGTGATGTCCTGAAAGTAAAGGCGGCCGGCATGAAGCTGACCATATCACCCACCAACTGCTGATTGGTCTATATAATATATAGGTCTACCTCTATAGACCCAGTAAGCCTTGGAAGTTGGGTCCATTTTTTTCTTCAACCAAATTTGACATCATCTAGCAAACAGAATACTACATGGACAAACATACTTGGTATTTCCAGAAAAGTTAACAATTTCACTCAGTACTTACATCTTTCAATGATGAAAAAAGTGATGTGTTAAAATATCAAGAATACCACACAAATATTTGCAACACAAACTTTTGCATTGTTTACAAAATCAGCATGTGTTCATTTTAGGTTCATCTCAAATTATGAACAGAAAAAGAAACGGCCGAGTTGTCAGCCTTATGGCTATGTCAGTGGCACTGATGTCATGGGTAGTTCATGGGAATGATCTTGTGTTCAAATCTGAAGTTGATCACCTCAGAAATATGGAGGAGGATATCGGGAGCGCTACAAAGTGTGGTGAGTATGTAATCAACTGTCATGTTTTGTTCAAACTTCCACTGCTTCAACAGACCAAGAGAACAAATACAATCTAAAATGCAGTCTGGAAAACACTCAAGATCACAATCGATCAAACGCTGATTAGACCAGTTGCCCTACATGGCCCTGAAAGCTGTAATGTAACTAAAAGAGACGAAGCCTTATTACAAACTTGGGACAACAGTCTTATGACAAATCTTTAGGTCCATCAAAATTGCAATGGACTAGGATGGTTGAGGCATAAAGAAAGAATGCCAGATGCAAAAACTGTGTACACAGAAGAGTGGAGAGATAATATACAGACAGACCTACAAACATTTCATGTCACCTACTGGAAAGAGAAGGCCTGCCAGAGAGATAACATGGTGATTGGGGATTTCTGCAGCTGCAGTCGCCTCAGGGGTTCAGATGCTGAAGAAGAAGAAGACATATTTAGCTCATAAAATGTAGTGAACACATTAGCTAACATTATTAAGCGCTTAAATGATGAGAATACTGCCACAGAGTGTGGTAAGTATATTAGTTATGTATTATATTGTATACTAGCTAGATGTGTTCTGTATATTAGTAATGTATTATATTGTGTGCCAGCTAGATATGGTCAGTATATTAGTGATGATTATCTTTTTATAGTTAGTTTGTTTTGCATATGTTCACATCGAAGTTGAGCATTCAAAGACAGTGAGTGGAGTCTCTGAGGTGGTCATGAGTGACAACAGTCAGTGTCATTGTAGTGCCAGGGCATGCAGACTTTAAGAGAGCTGAATTTCTTGCAGACAATGCTGCCATGGAAACCAGACATGAGCAGCAGACCAAGCTTATATCATAAATGAACTAAAAATAGAAGAAAAATAATATGAGTATACAAAAAAAAGTTGTGACTGAATCTGCAACTTTGATCAGACTGTAAGAGCATTGAGTCAAAAGGAGTGAGGCCAGACAAGAGCACTATGCAGGAAGCCAGAGAAGAATAGTAAAGCAACACTGAATTGGTGTTGTCTGCCACAAAAAGCTGAGAGATTTACTGAGAAAGAGATCTAAACACACGTGCACTCAATAGTGTGAGGGTAATCTTTGGAGCAACTAACCTTGCAAATTTGTTATTGACATTTAACAATGGGTTTGGCAGATCCCAGAGATACCACAAAAGTAAATATCTCTTGGACACCCAGACAGCTGTCCCCTTCAGGACAAGTGGAGATAACATTTTCCTACACTGCACGTAAGTTTGGTCTTGTTATACTATTTTATCTAAACCAAAATCTGAGCTGGCATACCCCTACTCCATGGTTGTGGATGGAAAAACTTTAACATTAATGAAATCTTCTCCTCTGTTTGTTAATTATGAATACTTTACTTTCACTGTTGTTTCCTAACTTGCCTGCGTTGTAGCCAGGGCTTTTTTCTCTAGATAAAAAGGTGAGGTGTCAGTACTCATCACGAAGTATCTAGAAATGGTGCCGGTACTCACAACAAAAGGTTTATTAAAGTAGTGTTTAAAAACAAAAATGATGCCTAAAATATTTGTGAGTCATAGTTGTGGGTCAAAGACTTTTACTCAGCTTTTGAAGAAGAAATTTGAGGTTTTAAGCAGAAATTTAGAGAAAAATTCTTAGAATACCACAGACCAAGAAGAAGAAAGAGGTCAACATCCTATATGATTTGAACATCAAGGATGACTTATAAACAGCATTGTGTCCTGAAAGCTGAGGTATTTTGGCTATGTTAAACATCCTGATGGCCTGGAGAGATGGTGATGGAGGCTGACGTTAAACATCCTGGTGGCCTGGAGAGATGGTGATGGAGGCTGATGTTAAACATCGTGTTGGCCCGGAGAGATGGTGATGGAGGCTGATGTTAAACATCCTGGTGGCCTGGAGAGATGGTGATGGAGGCTGACTTTAAACATCCTGGTGGCCTGGAGAGATGGTGATGGAGGCTGACGTTAAACATCCTGGTGGCCTGGAGAGATGGTTATGGAGGCTGACTTTAAACATCCTGGTGGCCCGGAGAGATGGTGGTGGAGGCTGACTTTAAACATCCTGGTGGCCTGGAGAGATGGTGATGGAGGCTGATGTTAAACATCCTGGTGGCCTGGAGAGATGGTGATGGAGGCTGATGTTAAACATCCTGGTGGCTGGGAGAGATGGTGATGGAGGCTGATGTTAAACATCCTGGTGGCTGGGAGAGATGGTGATGGAGGCTGACGTTAAACATCCTGGTGGCCCAGAGAGATGGTGATGGAGGCTGACGTTAAACATCCTGGTGGCCTGGAGAGATGGTGATGGAGGCTGATGTTAAACATCCTGGTGGCCCGGAGACATGGTGATGGAGGCTGACGTTTAACATCCTGGTGGCCCAGAGATGGTGATGGAGGCTGACATTAAACATCCTAGTGGCACGGAGAGATGGTGATGGAGGCTGACATTAAACATCCTGGTGGCCCGGAGAGATGGTGATGGAGGCTGAAGTTAAACATCCTGGTGGCTGGGAGAGATGGTGATGGAAGCTGATGTTAAACATCCTGGTGGCTGGGAGAGATGGTGATGGAGGCTGATGTTAAACATCCTGGTGGCCCGGAGAGATGGTGTTGGAGGCTGATGTTAAACATCCAGGTGGCTGGGAGAGATGGTGATGGAGGCTGATGTTAAACATCCTGGTGGCCCGGAGAGATGGTGATGGAGGCTGACGTTAAACATCCTGGTGGCCTGGAGAGATGGTGATGGAGGCTGATGTTAAACATCCTGGTGGCTGGGAGAGATGGTGATGGAGGCTGATGTTAAACATCCCGGTGACCCGGACAGTTGGTGATGGAGGCTGACATTAAACATCCTGGTAGCTGGGAGAGATGGTGATGGAGGCTGATGTTAAACATCCTGGTGGCTGGGAGAGATGGTGATGGAGGCTGACGTTAAACATCCTGGTGGCCCGGAGAGATGGTGATTGAGGCTGACGTTAAAAATCCTGGTGGCCTGGAGAGATGGTGATGGAGGCTGATGTTAAACATCCTGGTGGCTGGGAGAGATGGTGATGGAGGCTGATGTTAAACATCCTGGTGGCATGGACAGATGGTGATGGAGGCTGACGTTAAACATCCTGGTGGCCCAGAGAGATGGTGATGGAGGCTGACGTTAAACATCCTGGTGGCCCAGAGAGATGGTGATGGAGGCTGATGTTAAACATCCTGGTGGCCCAGAAAGATGGTGATGGAGGCTGATGTTAAACATCCTGGTGGCCCAGAGATGGTGATGGAGGCTGCAGTTTCCAGAAAATGAGGCAAATGCTGATCTTCTTGGAGGTGGATCCAGGACATTGAAGATGCATTAGCTTTAAAAGCACATAGGGTTGGAGGACTGGCTAGAGAGAGAAAGACTTTCAGGTGTGCAGTGATGAGAGCAACATTCTGTAAACAACCTGTTGATTGATAAACCAACTATATAGGTGTGCATCTGTGTGTGTATGTGTGCGCACATGCGTGTGTGTATGTGTGTGAAGGGTGTGTAGAATTGTAATTACTTTTTATTTTTCAACCCACCTATGTTGCAACTGTTTTCCTATAGTCCATGCTGTATGGCTTAGGTCATCATGCTATGCTATCCACATCTTTCTGTATCTTGTGCTCTCAGTCATTTCTGACTCAGCTGTTCTTGCATAAAATGATGCCAAACTTTGCATTATCTTTAATCTTGATCTCCTTCTGCCTATCTTTCCCTTCCGACATTCTCATTGTCCCTGTGTTCACTAGTTTCCTCCTTCTCACACTGTGACTAAAGAATCGAGTTCCCTTTTAATACAATAAACTAGCACTCTTTCCAAGTTCAAAAGTTTGATCATGACATTTAAAAAAAAATCTGTCCATGGTCTAATCATGCATCTGTAAAACCACATCTCTGCTGCTTCCTGTAATGTTTTCATAATTGACTGACTGCATTGTTCAGCCATTATATATTATATTTGTTCAGTGTGTTAACCATAGTGTGTCTGGAAACTTGCTTGAGATTATTCAGACATGTAATCAAATCCTTTCTGGAGAGCCTCACCACCATCATCCTCACACACATGTAAGCACTCAAGGAACATAGCCACAGACACACACACACATACACACACACACAGATACACACACATACACACACACACACACATCACAGAGATAAAACACTCACATAAAACTAGGTACAAGTTTTCAAGAACAGTAACATGTTATTTGCAGTAACCAGTTAATACACGATTTGCTGGTTCAGGATAAGGATGAGAAACAAGGACACACAACTGTTTATCATGCAAACATGTTTGTGCCTTGTTAAGTTATATTATCACAATGAGTCTTACTGCACATTAGGCACTGCCTTGTGTGCATAGGCCTATGATGCAGCAGCCACGCCAGGTACCTTTACTGACTGTTTCTATGATATGTTGGTTATGTCTCCTATCTTGACCCCAAATATGGCACCAGTGTTCTTTGTTTATATACCTGAGTCTCTTCTAATATTGTTTAAAACATGTTTAAAGCCTTTGGTTGTGTAATATTGGAACTGTTACAGCTAAACATGTAAATACAATCTCAACAAGTGTCTGTTATTGTGAATTACAGCTCATGACATGAATGGTGGATTTATGAACCTCAGTCTGTATTTCCATGGAGAACAAGAACCTTTTGTGGGATACTCAAACAAATTTTCTTGTGATGATATCAAACCATATTCTATTAAATGTCCATTGAGGAAAAAATGTAAGTCAGTTATCAGTTAATAGCATTATTTTCTAGGTCATTTAAAAATATCATCAACAATATCTCACATTCATGAATGAAGCGTGTAAAATAAATAATATGAGAATAACACTGTAAAGACAGAAGTAATATCATTAGAAAGAAAGGAGAGATTAAATATAGTTATATATTGCAAAGGTATTAAACTACAAACAAATGAGTTTAAAACTAGGAATGTTTACCAAACATGGATGAAGAATATTGAATGTTGAATTAAGAATCGGCATCACAGCACTCGGGACACCCCCATATGCGCTCCGTCTCCATCTTCAGCAGCAAGCGAAGAAATAAAATTCTCTTGGTACCAGTCATGTATGAAGAAATGACCATCCAATGCACTAAAGCAGTCCAAGTCTTGGAAAGCTACACCACACCCCTCTCCCTAATCTTATATACACTGCATATTCATGTCCAACAAGAAAAAGAATATTATTAATCAGGGAAATGTGATGTCTAAGCAAGGCTGCAGTAGTCACCAAAATGAAGTCATAAGAGAAAAAGTCAGTACAGAACCAGTTATATATTCAAAGACAGCAAATAAAATGTTTTGTCCACTTAAAGAGAATGCCCTGTGATGCCATCACAAAGAAAACATTCATCAAAAGAGGAAAGGGACACAGAACAAGGGTTAGACCAGGAACAAGATGGAACAATAACATCAGAGAAATTCTACAACAGCAAGTTGTTTCTGTGGCCAGAAGAGCAAGAAGCAGAACCTTATATCTGCCTCAACACTTTCAGCCCTACAGGAGAAACTGAACAAGAAAACTGAAAACCCCCTCATCCAAAACTGTAAACCCCCTCATCCAAAACTGAAAACCCCCTCATCCAAAACTGTAAACCCCCTCATCCAAAACTGAAAACCCCCTCATCCAAAACTGAAAACCCCCTCATCCAAAACTGAAAACCACCTCATCCAAAACTGAAAACCCCCTCATCCAAAACTGTAAACCCCCTCATCCAAAACTGAAAAGCCCCTCATCGAAAACTGAAAAACCCCTCATCCAAAAGTAAAGGACCCCTTCTCATGCCATGGCATCTATGGAGGTCTGGTGCTGCAGTCACATTTGTATCTACCAATTAGCACTTATTGTTTTGAGTGTGTATGTGTGTGTGAGAGAGAGAGAGAGAGAGAGAGAGAGAGAGAAAGAGAGAGAGAGAGACACACACACACACACACACACACAAGAACATTTTTATGGAACATTTCAACAGCTCACAAACTACTGCAGAGCTGCAATTCTGATGGTACCAGTAGCAGTTTGATTATTTGTCCATCGTGTCTTTTTTCTAAATGTTGAGTGTTGGCCAGATTTCGTGGTCACTCCTCATGTTGAGTGTTGGCCAGATTTCATGGTCACTCCTCATGTTGAGTGTTGATTAGATATCATGGTCATTCCTCATGTTGAGTGTTGGCCAGATTTCATGGTCACTCCTCATGTTGAGTGTTGGCCAGATTTCATGGTCACTCCTCATGTTGAGTGTTGGCCAGATCTAATGGTCACTCCTCATGTTGAGTGTTAGCCAGATCTCATGGTCACTCCTCATGTTAAGTGTTGATTAGATCTCATGGTCGCTCCTCATGTTAAGTGTTGATTAGATCTCATGGTCACTCCTCATGTTAAGTGTTGATTAGATCTCATGGTCACTCCTCATGTTGAGTGTTTGCCAGATCTCATGGTCACTCCTCATGTTGAGTGTTGATTAGATCTCATGGTCACTCTTCATGTTAAGTGTTGATTAGATCTCATGGTCACTCCTCATGTTAAGTGTTGATTAGATCTCATGGTCACTCCTCATGTTAAGTGTTGATTAGATCTCATGGTCACTCCCCATGTTGAGTGTTGGCCAGATCTCATGGTCACTCCTCATGTTAAGTGTTGATTAGATCTCATGGTCGCTCCTCATGTTAAGTGTTGATTAGATCTCATGGTCACTCCTCATGTTGAGTGTTGGCCAGATCTCAGGGTCACTCCCCATGTTGAGTGTTGGCCAGATCTCAAGGTCAGAACTCATGTTAAGTGTTGATTAGATCTCATGGTCACTCCTCATGTTAAGTGTTGATTAGATCTCATGGTCACTCCTCATGTTGAGTGTTGGCCAGATCTCATGGTCACTCCTCATGTTGAGTGTTGGCCAGATCTCATGGTCACTCCTCATGTTGAGTGTTGGCCAGATCTCATGGTCACTCCTCATGTTAAGTGTTGATTAGATCTCATGGTCACTCTTCATGTTAAGTGTTGATTAGATCTCATGGTCACTCCTCATGTTGAGTGTTGGCCAGATCTCATGGTCACTCCTCATGTTGAGTGTTGACCAGATCTCATTGTCACTCCTCATGTTAAGTGTTGATTAGATCTCATGGTCACTCCTCATGTTAAGTGTTGATTAGATCTCATGGTCACTCCTCATGTTAAGTGTTGATTAGATCTCATGGTCACTCCTCATCTTAAGTGTTGATTAGATCTCATGGTCACTCCTCATGTTAAGTGTTGATTAGATCTCATGGTCGCTCCTCATGTTAAGTGTTGATTAGATCTCATGGTCACTCCTCATGTTAAGTGTTGATTAGATCTCATGGTCACTCCTCATGTTGAGTGTTGGCCAGATCTCATGGTCACTCCTCATGTTGAGTGTTGGCCAGATCTCATGATCACTCCTCATGTTAAGTGTTGATTAGATCTCATGGTCACTCCTCATGTTAAGTGTTGATTAGATCTCATAGTCACTCCTCATGTTAAGTGTTGATTAGATTTCATGGTCACTCCTCATGTTAAGTGTTGATTAGATCTCATGGTCACTCCTCATGTTAAGCGTTGATTAGATTTCATGGTCACTCCTCATGTTAAGTGTTGATTAGATCTCATGGTCACTCCTCATGTTAAGTGTTGATTAGATCTCATGGTCACTCCTCATGTTAAGTGTTGGCCAGATTTCATGGTCACTCCTCATGTTGAGTGTTGGCCAGATTTCATGGTCACTCCCCATGTTGAGTGTTGGCCAGATCTCATGGTCACTCCTCATGTTAAGTGTTGATTAGATCTCATGGTCACTCCTCATGTTAAGTGTTGATTAGATCTCATGGTCACTCCTCATGTTGAGTGTTGGCTAGATTTCATGGTCACTCCTCATGTTGAGTGTTGGCCAGATTTCATGGTCACTCCCCATGTTGAGTGTTGGCCAGATCTCATGGTCACAACTCATGTTAAGTGTTGATTAGATTTCATGGTCACTCCTCATGTTAAGTGTTGATTAGATCTCGTGGTCACTCCTCATGTTGAGTGTTGGCTAGATTTCATGGTCACTCCTCATGTTGAGTGTTGGCCAGATTTCATGGTCACTCCCCATGTTGAGTGTTGGCCAGATCTCATGGTCACTCCCCATGTTGAGTATTGGCCAGATCTCATGGTCACTCCCCATGTTGAGTGTTGGCCAGATCTCATGGTCACTCCCCATGTTGAGTGTTGGCCAGATCTCATGGTCACTTCCAATGTTGAGTGTTGGCCAGATCTCATGGTCACTCCCCATGTTGAGTGTTGGCCAGATCTCATGGTCACTTCCAATGTTGAGTGTTGGTCAGATCTGGTGCTCACTGCCCATGTTGAGTGTTGGCACCATTCTCTCCAGACCATAGTAATCTATTCACATTTTCACAGTTTACTCGCATTATGAGGACCTGGACAACATCTAGCCTGCCCAGCTATTGTTGCCACTCAGGAGTGTGTCTGTCTCCACAGTGCAAGGTTGGGGCAACTATGGACATGATTAAAATGCAGTGATATCAATTAAAGTTCAACTAAACAGTCACAAGCAGACACAACAGATAACAATAACTACAGTTGTTGCTTACATTTTCAAATATTAGGTGTCCTTAGTAAAAACTAATTGGTTGTTTTCTTCACAGTAACATTTAGCTTTACCAAGAACATCACCAACCTACACCCCTTAACCAGCTTCCCAGTGAGTATCTGTTGTTTGATCTATGGCATGTGTTTCTTTATTGTACATACCATTGTAATAATCGTAAAGATATCTAGTCTAGCAACATGTTGTCGTGTTTTTGCTAGCAGTTACCCATAGAACGAGCATTGTTATTATTTCATTCTCACCGTTGTGCCCATTCATAGTTATAATTATTAATTTGACATCAATAGTTTCAGTGCTGATCAGTAGTATTATTGTTCATCAGTGGTATCAGTGCTCATCAGTGGTATCAGTGCTCATTAGTGGTCTCAGTGCTCATTAGTGGTGTCAGTGCTCATCAGTGGTATCAGTGCTCATCAGTGGTGTCAGTGCTCATCAGTGGTGTCAGTGCTCATCAGTGGTATCAGTGCTCATCAGTGGTGTCAGTGCTCATTAGTGGTGTCAGTGCTCATCAGTGGTATCAGTGCTCATTAGAGGTCTCAGTGCTCATCAGTGGTGTCAGTGCTCATCAGTGGTATCAGTGCTCATCAGTGGTCTCAGTGCTCATCAGTGGTGTCAGTGCTCATTAGTGCTCATCAGTGGTGTCAGTGCTCATTAGTGGTGTCAGTGCTCATCAGTGGTATTAGTGCTCATCAGTGGTCTCAGCGCTCATCAGTGGTGTCAGTGCTCATCAGTGGTGTCAGTGCTCATCAGTGGTCTCAGTGCTCATTAGTGGTGTCAGTGCTCATCAGTGGTATCAGTGCTCATCAGTGGTGTCAGTGCTCATTAGTGGTGTCAGTGCTCATCAGTGGTATCAGTGCTCATTAGTGGTCTCAGTGCTCATCAGTGGTGTCAGTGCTCATCAGTGGTATCAGTGCTCATCAGTGGTCTCAGTGCTCATCAGTGGTGTCAGTGCTCATCAGTGGTGTCAGTGCTCATCAGTGGTGTCATTGCTCATCAGTGGTGTCAGTGCTCATCAGTGGTGTCAGTGCTCATCAGTGGTGTCAGTGCTCATTAGTGGTGTCAGTGCTCATCAGTGGTCTCAGTGCTCATCAGTGGTGTCAGTGCTCATCAGTGGTGTCAGTGCTCATCAGTGGTGTCAGTGCTCATCAGTGGTGTCAGTGCTCATCAGTGGTGTCAGTGCTCATCAGTGGTGTCAGTGCTCATCAGTGGTGTCAGTGCTCATCAGTGGTCTCAGTGCTCATCAGTGGTCTCAGTGCTCATTAGTGGTGTCAGTGCTCATCAGTGGTATCAGTGCTCATTAGTGGTGTTAGTGCTCATCAGTGCTCTTCAGTAGTGACAGTGCTCATTAGTGGTGTCAGTGCTCATTAGTGGTGTCAGTGCTCATCAGTGGTATCAGTGCTCATTAGTGGTATCAGTGCTCATTAGTGGTATCAGTGCTCATCAGTGGTATCAGTGCTCATTAGTGGTATCAGTGCTCGTCAGTGCTCATTAGTGGTATCAGTGCTCATCAGTGGTGTCAGTGCTCATTAGTGGTATCAGTGCTCATTAGTGGTGTCAGTGCTCATCAGTGGTGTCAGTGCTCATTAGTGGTATCAGTGCTCATCAGTGGTGTCAGTGCTCATTAGTGGTATCAGTGCTCATCAGTGGTATCAGTGCTCATTAGTGGTATCAGTGCTCATTAGTGGTGTCAGTGCTCATTAGTGCTCATCAGTGCTCATCAGTGGTGACAGTGTTCATTAGTGGTGTCAGTGCTCATTATTGGTACCAGTGCTCATCAGTGGTATTAGTGCTCATCAGTGGTGTCAGTGCTCATTAGTGCTCATCAGTGGTGACAGTGCTCATTAGTGGTGTCAGTGCTCATTAGTGGTGTCAGTGCTCATCAGTGGTATCAGTGCTCATTAGTGGTGTCAGTGCTCATTAGTGGTAGCAGTGCTCATTAGTGGTATCAGTGCTCATAAGTGGTATCAGTGCTCATCAGTGCTCATCGGTGGCATAAGTGCTCATTAGTGGTATCAGTGCTCATTAGTGGTATCAGTGCTCATTATCTGTAACAGTGCTCATTAGTGCTCATCAGTGGTGACAGTGCTCATTAGTGGTGTCAGTGCTCATTAGTGGTGTCAGTGCTCATCAGTGGTGACAGTGCTCATTGGTGGTGTCAGTGCTCATTAGTGGTATCAGTGCTCATCAGTGTTCATCAGTGGTGTCAGTGCTCATTAGTGGTATCAGTGCTCATTAGTGGTATCAGTGCTCATTAGTGGTATCAGTGCTCATCAGTGGTATCAGTGCTCATTAGTGGTGTCAGTGCTCATTAGTGGTGTCAGTGCTCATTAGTGGTGACAGTGCTCATTAGTGGTGTCAGTGCTCATTAGTGGTATCAGTGCTCATTAGTGGTATCAGTGCTCATTAGTGGTATCAGTGCTCATCAGTGGCATCAGTGCTCATTAGTGGTATCAGTGCTCATTAGTGGTATCATTGCTCATCAGTAGTATCAGTGCTCATTAGTGCTCATCAGTGTTATCAGTGCTCATTACTGGTGTCAGTGCTCATTAGTGGTGTCAGTGCTCATCAGTGGTGTCAGTGCTCATCAGTGGTGTGAATGCTCATCAGTGGTGTCAGTGCTCCTCAGTCTTATCAGTGCTCATTAGTGGTGTCAGTGCTCCTCAGTATTGTCAGTGCTCATCAGTGGCATCAGTGCTCATCAGTGGTGTCAGTGCTCATCAGTGGTGTCAGTGCTCATTATTAGTGGTGTCAGTGCTCATCAGTGGTGTCAGTGCTCCTCAGTCTTATCAGTGCTCATTAGTGCTCATCAGTGGTATCAGTGCTCATTAGTGGTATCAGTGCTCATCAGTAGTATCAGTGCTCATTAGTGCTTATCAGTGGTATCAGTGCTCATTAGTGGTGTCAGTGCTCATTGGTGCTTATCAGTGGTATCATTGCTCATTAGTGCTCATCAGTGGTATCAGTGCTCATTAGTGCTTATCAGTGGTATCAGTGCTCATTAGTGCTCATCAGTGGTATCAGTGCTCATCAGTGGTATCAGTGCTCATTAGTAGTATCAGTGCTCTTTAGTGCTCATCAGTGGTATCAGTGCTCATCAGTGGTGACAGTGCTCATCAGTGGTATCAGTGCTCATTAGTGGTGACGGTGCTCATCAGTGGTATCAGTGCTCATTAGTGGTATCAGTGCTCATTAGTGGTATCAGTGCTCATTAGTGGTATCAGTGCTCATCAGTGGTATCAGTGCTCATCAGTAGTATCAGTGCTCATTAGTGCTCATCAGTGGTATCAGTGCTCATTAGTGCTCATCAGTGGTATCAGTGCTCATTAGTGGTGTCAGTGCTCATTAGTGCTCATCAGTGGTATCAGTGCTCATTAGTAGTATCAGTGCTAATCAGTGGTATCAGTGCTCATCAGTGGTATCAGTGCTCATTAGTGGTATCAGTGCTCATTAGTAGTATCAGTGCTCATTAGTAGTATCAGTGCTCATCAGTGGTATCAGTGCTCATTAGTAGTATCAGTGCTCATTAGTAGTATCAGTGCTCATCAGTGGTATCAGTGCTCATTAGTAGTATCAGTGCTCATCAGTGGTATCAGTGCTCATTAGTGGTATCAGTGCTCATTAGTGGTATCAGTGCTCATTAGTAGTATCAGTGCTCATTAGTGCTCATCAGTGGTATCAGTGCTCATCAGTGGTATCAGTGCTCATTAGTAGTATCAGTGCTCATTAGTGGTATCAGTGCTCATTAGTGGTATCAGTGCTCATTAGTGGTATCAGTGCTCATTAGTGCTCATTAGTGGTATCAGTGCTCATTAGTGGTATCAGTGCTCATTAGTGCTCATTAGTGGTATCAGTGCTCATTAGTGGTATCAGTGCTCATTAGTGGTATCAGTGCTCATTAGTGGTATCAGTGCTCATTAATGCTCATCAGTGCTCATCAGTGCTCATCAGTAGTGTCAGCTCTCATTAGTAGTGTCAGTGCTCATCAGTTGTAACAGTCCTTATCAGTAGTTCTATTGTTCAACAGTAGTGTCAGTGCTCATCAGTAGTATAAGTATTTTTATTGCAACTAGCTGTATCATCATCATGTGATGTGCCAGTAAGTGTATTTTGCCATCTTACACAACCACCAGAATCATGGATCAGGTCAGTGTTCTTGTTTTACCCCATCCATTGGCCAAGCAATCAAAGTTTTTATTTCTTTTTCTTGTTCTCTTGTTCTCCTAATTGTATCAGTTGTTACCAAGTTCTCGAGTCCATTCCTTCTCATAACATGTCAGAAAACACAGACTGTCTATGTCTACTTGTTCTGCTGTGAATGTATGACTATTCTTGACATATTTGAAGAAGGTAGTTTGTCATTGCTTTCCTTCCTGGCAGTGACAATACTAGTGAGGTGACTATAGCTTTTGTCAGGACAGTGTGATCCTCTGCCTACCATGGGGGGAACTTGAGACTGTAACTAACAACTATCTGTTTGCTATTCTCAAGCTCACTCTGCCACATGTTCCTGTGGTTTTACTTTACTTTGATGTGAGGAGAGGTTCATATTGAGTGGTGTTCTGTCATGTGTGCTTCATCCTCATCTTCATCAGCCAGTGCAGAGTTCCACTACTAATAGTGCCGGTCACAATCTGGTTTTATGTCCGTCTTGCCCGTTCTCTGAGTGCAGTGAGCCAGCCAGACCCTGTGGTTACACCCAGGTTATACCCTCGCTGAACTGCTTTTCCATTACTGTATTTCTTTTCCCTTGCTGTATTGCTCTTTCCTTGCTGTATTGCTCTTCTGCTGTGCTATTGCTGTTCTCTTGGTGTATTGCTCTTTACTTGCTGTATTGCTCTTTCCTTGCTGTACTGCTCTTCTGCTGTGCTATTGCTGTTCTCTTGGTGTATTGCTCTTTCCTTGCTGTATTGCTCTTCCCTTTCAGTAATGCTCTTCTGTCGTGGTATTGCTCTTCTGCTGTGCTATTGCTGTTCTCTTGGTGTATTGCTCTTTACTTGCTATATTGCTCTTCCCTTTCAGTAATGCTCTTCTGTCGTGGTATTGCTCTTCTGTTGTGGTATTGCTGTTCCCTTGCTGTATTTGCTCTTTACTTGTGGTATTGCTCTTCTGTTGTGGTATTGCTCTTTCCTTGGTGTATTGCTCTTCCCTTGCTGTATTGCTCTTCCCTTGCTATATTGCTCTTTACTTGTGGTATTGCCCTTATATTGTGGTATTGCTGTTCGCTTGCTGTATTGCTCTTCCCTTGTTGTCACTTGTGATATTGCTCTTCTGTTGTGGTATTGCTCTTCCCTTTAGTATTGCTCTTCCCTTGTTGTACTGTTCTTTCTTCAAACAGGAAAAAGAAGAAAAAGAAGGCAATCGAATTACTGTTACTTCACCATCACAGTCTCCTGTTACTACATCTAATAACACTGTTAACTTCACCATCATAGTCCCCTATTACTACTTCTAATAACATTATTCACTTAATTATCACAGTCTCCTGTTACTATTTCTGATAGCTCTATTAACTTCACCATCACTGTCTCTATAACTACTTCTAACAACACTGTTAACTTCAAAATCACTGTCTCCTGTTGCTACATCTAATAACACAGTTAACTTTCCCATCACAGACACCTGTTACTATTTCTAATAGCTCTGTTAACTTCACCATCACAGTTTCCTATCATTACTTCTAATAACTTTATTAAATTTGCCGTCACAGTCTTTTGTAACTTCACTAATAGAGTGATCAGTTATAACTTTTCCGTTATAACTATGATATTACTACTAACTCATTCATCACAATATACATCACACATATAACTGCAGACTCCACCATCACAATCTGTTTTAACTTCTGATATAACTGTTAATTCCTCTATCACAATCTGTTATAACTTCTAATATAACTGTTAATTCCTGTGTCACAATCGTTATAACTTCCCATATAACTGTTAATTCTTCTATCACAATCTGTTATAACTTCTGATGTAACTGTTAATTCCTCTATCACAATCTGTTATAACTTCTGATATAACTATTACTTCCACAATTATAACCTTTAATATATTCTGATAGAACTGTTACCTCCACCATCACAGTCTTATTTTATAACTTCAGATATAATTGATACTGCACCAAGACAATCTATTACAACTTCTGATTTAGCTGTTTAACTACTAACTGCACCACCACAATCTTGTATAACTTCTGAAATAACTGATGACTCAGCCATCACAATCTGTTGTTCTTACTTATGACATCACCATTAGGCTGATAAGGCTTCCATCCCAATTCATCAGCCATTGTTCACAATGCAGCTGTGCCTCCTGTGACAGGGAATACATTTATCTTCCCCAGGGAGACTACGATGCCATCGTGGATATCAAGAATGAGAAGAATGAGAGCATGCTGTGCTTGAATTTCACGCTCAGTATTAAAGAAATATGAAGAAGACATCAAGATCTGTTTGTTATGTTGCCTGAAAACTTTGTTATCCATTTGCCTGAATTAAAATTGCATGTTAAAATCTGGGGAAAAAATATGTAATGGTTGTAAGAACAGTATCTGTAACTGGAAAACTTTAAGATAGCATATATTTTACATTGCTTTTTGGTCATATTTAAAAAAACACACATTTCTAGCCTAACTAATGTCAATGTAGATTCAAAGCACCTGGACATAAACCATACACACATTCACACACACAATCACACCATTGACTCTCTGTGCTCTGGACAACTGCTCTCTCAGTGTAATTATTCAGTTATTACTTGAGTACCTTCTAGTGTAGGTAGATTTCTAGTAACATTATTTCTTTCCAAGACAGTTTTATGTGAACATCTCAAACATTTATTACTTTATTATGAGCTTCCTGAACTGAAACAGTTAAAATAGTAAAATAAATAGGCACTATTTGGATATCAGATCAGATATCTTATATTTTATGTTGCATTTGTTGTTTTTCTTATAATTATTTTGTGTCTAAATGATATATTTTCAGACATTTCCAGTGAATTAGATGTTGTCCTCTTGTTGCACTAGCTTTATAACTCTTTCAGTCCCAAGGAATGCATCATATGTTCATAGTTTTTACCATTTGCCAAGTGAATGCAAGATGTTCAACTTTATATGTCTCTCTTGCTAAACCCTGTGGGAGTGAAAGAGATTAAGGGGATTTTACCATTTATTGATCAAGAAGTCTTTAATTAATTAAGTCACTGTGGTTTTGTTTATTTCCTTTAGTTTTGCTTTGATTACTAATTGTCACAATAGACGCTTTAAATAATAGGTCAATTCCACTGTCAGTTAACCGACTCAAAATTGTAGCATACCAGGCCAGGAATACACATAAACACTCTGTCTCCTGCAGCAAATCTATTATGATGTAGATGTTGACTTTTCCAGCAGTGTACTGGTTCTACACAGGTTGTACTCTTCCTCACATACATGGGGGGGGGGGGGGGGGGGGAGTGATGGAGGGCAGGGGCAGGATCCACACTTAATTCACTAATTTGTTCATGATGCAACACATTTAACCTAGCTGCAATGGCACAGTGGCTAAACATTTTTCCCAGGTTTTTCCAAAGGTTTTCAGCTAGAATCTGCCACAAGGAAGTTTTTTTTTTTTAATGACCTGGGCTCCTGTTTAGACGATTTAAGGTACCAGAAAATGTCTGGATAAATAAATGTTGCCCACATTATGTTGACTACATCAGCCATCAAGCATTTTGTCTGTTATAATATGGGTCTAGCACCATATGCCTAATGCACCAATGTTGTAAAAGGTGTCATTTACTTACTTGACTAACTATTACACATTGCCATTTAGTTTTATTTTTTAATGACAAAAAATGTATTCATAGACAATTTCAGGGGAGTCGCCGTGGCGGAACGGTTAGACGCTCACCTCGGATCGGAAGGTCGTAGGTTCGCTCCCTAGCCGAGCTGGACTTTTTTCAAAAATGACCTTGACTCCCAGGTTGACCCAGCCTTGAGTGGGTACCGGGTGCAGTCCCGGGAAGTAGAGGCAACTGGCGTGATGCTGACCACATCACCCATCTTGTTCTAATTGGTCTATAAAATATAGGTCTAACCCTATATGCCCTATAAAAATAAAGGCGTAGAAAAGGGTCTTTTACTTTCCAAATAATTTCACCATAACAGATTCATAGGCAACATGTGTGATATTTGTTGTGCTGGTGTGATGATCTGATTTATGGTTTCATTGTGTAGGTAGAGTGTGGAACAACTAATCATACTTTCTGTGTCTACTATCAACTTTATTTTATGGTTACATGGGCTGGTCACAAAAAGGAACATTTAAGATACTTTAAATACATGTATGTCTAAGTGTTCATTTTTTATTTGATATTATATTGTCTTCTAAAAAACACAAAACAATAAAGCCATTCTCGAGGCTTTCTGACCATAGAGTGAGAGTTGTGGCATAGAAAAGAACTGGGCTTCACCATTTGTATTCCCAAAGACAGCAGTAAGTCCACTGCAGCCAACTTTCACTGTGGCGATCGCATACAACTTTAAAAAAAAAATTACAAACTGAAAAGTTGAAAAGACAAAAGCAGACTGGGTAGAATGAAATCTGGTATCAAAAATTGCTGCAGAAGTGTGGTTTTGTGAGGGAGTAAATTTCTTGTCTGTTCCTGGGAAAATACTCGACAGGGACATTGTGGGGATTAGGAGATGCCATTGACAGACAGTGAAGGATAATTAGCAAGGCTTCAGCCAGGCATAGGCTGCACCAGTCAGACGGCCACATTATTCATAGTAATAGAACAAAACTTTAACAAAAAAATATTTGTATTTTTTGGTCAATGAAATAGTTGCATTGATTGGAAATCTATTTCAGAAATCAAGAAGGTAGAGATATAACAGAAAATCATTAACAACTAATGCAGCAAATAAATAACAAATAAAAGTTCTTTATTAACAAAGACAGTCAGATACATTTAAAATATGAAGTGGAGAATCGCAAGGATGCCTTTTGTAACTTGTATTATTCTTACTGACTATGAACTGGCACCTTTTTAAACACCATTTTTACACCTCTACTTAGAAAGACACTTTGCGTCAGGTACCAGCACCTTTTCAAATACGTTTTTTTGCGGAGTACAGGCATCTTTTTTCTGTTAAAGAAAAGCCTTGTTATAACTACGACTATAAATGGAGTTCTATGAAACCTGACATAGCAGCTGAACTCTTTTAGTACCAAGCAACTCACTGAACATTCATTGGAAAGTCCATAGAAGATCAACATTTATAACTACATGAATTAATTGTGACCATAATGTTAGTTTAGTTACTTTTCTCCTATAGTATTATTACATCAACCACTTCTGACCCATACATATCCTTCTTTGGAGCAAAAGTACTAAGGATAGAATCAGTTAAAGCAGTTTCAGGCTGCAACTGAAAGAGTTAGTAATAAGGATTTCACTGATTACTATGCCCTCCATATCTCACTCGTAAGTCAAATGCAAGATCTCAGTCTTCAGCAAAGATAGGTCAGCTCTACGTGAGTTGATTGAGGGCCATTTCTCCATCGAAGGATATAAAGGGTAGAAAAGACAGTAGAAGAAGAAAAGAATTTTGTATTTATAAATAGTTTATTATCTAACAAATAGATATTTTCTCAATGTAGAACTGACATTTGAAATAGATTTGACATCTCACTGTAGAACTGACATTTTAAATAGATTTGACATCTCACTGTAGAACTGACATTTGAAATAGATTTGACATCTCACTGTAGAACTGACATTTGAAATACATTTGACATCTCACTGTAGAACTGACATTTTAAATAGATTTGACATGAATATACAATGAAGCTCTTCCAAGCAATTACTGTGATTCTTCTTGCCTGTCATTTTTTATTTCTCACTTTTGTTTTTCTGCCTTTCATCTTAGTTGCTTGCCTTTTCTCTTGCCATGGTTAATATTCCATTGCTTAAACTTTTTTGAAATATGAGTGTTTCTAAGACTTGTACTGTGAAGAAAATACACTTAAAAAAAAAAACATTTACAGTTTAATAAAACATTCCACAATCCATTGTGTTTTTTTCCAATACTTTCAAGCTCATTATCAATTCAGATTCTGCATCTTGCAATAATTTTACTGTTCAATGTTTGCTTTAATGAAAAAAAAAAAAATAGCACTTCATTATTTCTTCAATCATTCATCGTCATCATCATAACACCATTTCTAGAGTTGAGCGTCATGGGGAGGAATAAATTGTGATCAAATGCAGGCTGGCTGTCACTGGCTATTGTCAGGCTAGTTTGTGTCTAACTGTAGCCAAATGTTCAGACAAGAAATGTTCTTGTATGAAATTAGTTTTCCAAGAAATTTGCTTTGAGGAGCGGCTGCCCAAGATTGTGGAGATTTTCTGTTGGGGGTAAACCCAAAAAATCCTAGCCCGCACAGTCCATGGCGACAGTACTAGCCATGCAAACAACCCCCCCCCCCCCCCGCCACACCACAAAAGAGTTAAATTTAGGCAGTAATGGCGAGGTAATACCTGCAGTTGTAGAAGGAGGGAGGGAAAAGGGGGGGGGGGGGATCAAAGTGAAAATCACACTGCTTGATTGCTTGTATAAGTCTAATATCATTTACCCTTGTTATTATCACATTTTTATATTTTACTATATAAATCGTAGCATTTTGCTCTAGGCTCCAGATAGACTGGAAAGGAAATGCGGCCAGTAGCTCTGGATCATCTTGTTTATAGAGTTCCGAATGTTCTAGAAGAATCTTATGCTAGCATCATGTATTGATTATATCAATATGTGAAAGCCGCCGTTCGTGTGCACAGCTACGAGAAGGTAAACCCTACCTTCTAAATTCGTTCTAAGCCCCGGTAAACTTAAATTTCCGATTCAGCAGAGCACAGCCAGTGACACCCTTCGTGTGTCCTTGTTTTTATCAATTGAGTTAATATGCAGGAAAAGTAATTGGGTTTCTGCGGAATGATGCGGTTTATTGGCCAGTTGTGATGAAGAGCTATTTTTCTCACAGGCCATGCCCTGTAACGTTGGTAGTCTGTCTGCCCACAGCCTTCTGTCCCAGGTACATTTAGTTATTTCTGACACAGATAATTTTTCACGTCATAGTGCCTAAAATAGGTTCCTGAACCTGTGGGGGGGGGGGGGGGGGCCTAAGATTTTTTGAGACCCCCTCTCTGCTGTACACAAATATGATGGGAAAAGGGGGAGGGGGGGGGGGGGTTGAGCTCCTTCGCTGTCCAATATTTACTTCGTCGTGGTGTGCATGGTAAAACCCTGATGAAACATTTCTCCTAATATCCCTTTATTATATCTCTCTTCACAGCCCACTCTTTTTTTTGGGAGGGGGGGGGGAAGGGGGGGGGGTGCTCTATTTTTCTCTGTCTGTCTATCTATGTCTGTCTATTTTGCTTTCTGTGTTGTCT